TATGTGTATACATGTTTGTCCACGTAGTTGGTGACGTCTTGTGACGTTTAAGTGTGGGGTGGGCGGCTGCGGCCGTCTCACTGACCGGGTTCGGCAGGGAAAAGGGTGGGGGCCCTGATCCCATTGCACGTCGACCCAGGGAAGTCCGTGGGGAGCTAGTAGCCCGGCTTCCTCCGATGCCCTTTCGGGGCAAGGGTATTGTCCTTCCGAGGGATACCTGTAGTATCCTCTTGAGGGATGTGTCCTTTCCTAAAGGACGCCGGTTGGGTGGTCCACCGTGAAGTAATGCGTTAGCGGTTCCACGGTGGACAATACCCATACGATCAGGGGCTTCAGTCAGATTTTAGGTCGGTCCCCCGCCCGATAGTCCCTCGGGATACTACGGGCGGGAATCCACCACGAAGCCTCCTGGCCCTCCCTCAGGGGTCAGGATGGCTCCCTCAGGGACTCTGCAGGGGGGGTCATGTGCCCCCCCTGTAGGGTACGGGTTTCGCGCACCCGAAGGTCCCGAGCTGGTATGTGTGTTTATGTCGGGAGCGCTGGATCAATGATCCTACAGGCCATGTCGGCGGGGACCCCGGTCCCCGGCAGGGCCTCCCATGCCGAACGGGCTGTGGGTGAGATCTGGTTGGCTCCCGACATTGGGTGAATGTGTGTGTGTATGTGTGTGTGGATGGATGGGCCTGGTGGGGCCAAAAGGGCTTCGGCCCGCCACCCTTGGAAGGCACCAAGTCAAAAAAACAACCAAATCAAAATGGGAAGACGACGATCTAAAAAGATCACTACCGGCCCAGGGGTTTTGGATGCCCCAGGGCCCGGCGGAGAGGGGGTATCATCCCGGCCTCTGCCCCGTCGTCAACGAACGACGGGTGCAAGGATGAGGACATGATGTCGACGGGCTCGTCGGCGATCATGTCGGAGGAGGAGGGGAATTTCGACCCTGGGGCTGTGAGACCGGCGGCTTTGCTCCCGAACCTCATATGGGAGAGGGACCTAGCTCCATGGTGGAACGAGTTCCAGGTCGAGATTGATGCATTCAATGAATGCATCGCTGAAGAGGTAAAAGCCGAGAGGAAGATGAGCCCCATGATGCGGGAAGCGAGAGGCTTCGCTTCTCGAATCTGGCAGTTGGCGCACATCACGACGGAGAATGTTGCGGAGTTAACGCGACGAGAATGTGTCCGCCTCGGGGAGGAAGAGGCAGAAGAGATGAAGGCAGGGTTCGTCAAGAATCAAGGGATGCAAACGAAGAAAGGAACAGGAATGTCCGTGTGGACCCAGACTGAGGAGGCGCCCCCAACGATGGCTCCTCTGCCGGGGGAGTTGGTGGACAGGCTCGGGGAGATATCCTCGAGACTGGCTGCCAACTCGGACCGGCTGGAGTTGGTTGAGAGGCGCCTCGCGAAGATGGGGGTTGGTCGCGTGGGGAGGAAGGCTCAGGTCGCCCGTGGGGTCTCCAGTGAAATGGAGATCGGCATGGGAAACGAGACGGAAACGGAGACGGCGACGGAAGGGGAGACAATGACGGACTACGCGACGACGACGAAAGACTCGGGGGCAAAGGGGGGAAAGGGGAAAAAGGGGAAGGGGTGCGAGAACCACGGGGGAATGGGCAAAGGTGGTGGGGAGGGGAGAGAGGAGAAGGGAGAGGGAGAAGAGAAAGAGGGAGGAGGAGAAAGGGGGAGGGATGAATAGCGGGGAGGAGAAGAAGATCGCCGGTGAGGTGGTCGATGGGGAGGGAGGGTTGGCGGCGGAGTAACCGTCGCCAATGTTATGGGAACGCCGAGACACGCTACCGGTGTCTGTGTGTTGGGCACACATGGCGCCGGTGCACCTCGGCGGTGGACAGGGGTAGCCGTTGCTATCGCTGCGGCCCCCTGGCCACAAGGAGGTGGGGTGCCTGTCCGGCCTTAGGTGTCCACTTTGCGTGGACTTCCGACGGTCGGCCAGGTACAGACTCGGGGGTCCGGGGTGTCTGATGACATTCCCGACGGGGTCGAGGGGAGGGGCGTACCTCCCCGGTCCCCTCCGTCGTTGGCGGTCGTGCCCATGGGGGCGGTTGTCTGCGGCGGTGGGGGTCGGGGGGCCTGCCACATACCGGCGTCGACGATCGACGCCGGATGAGGGTGTCGGGGGAAACATGGGAGCGTTTAGGTGCTCCCCTTCCCCCCCCCGCGCCCTCCGGGCAGGATGGGCCCCACCGGTTGCGGGTGGACCCTGGCCCCTAACAGGGCGGGGGGGGTCGCGGCCGGGGGAGTCAGGAATGAGGGGGGGCTACGTGCTGCTGGCGGGGGGCGTTGCCCGCCCGCTCGGGGCGCCTGGGCCCCTCTCAAGGATGGAGACGTGACGTGTGGGGCCCTCTCACCGGGAGCCGTAGGCACCGGTGGGAGGGCAACACCGTCCACGGAAGGGGGTTCCTCTCCTTCTGAGAGGGGCCTCCTGATGAGGGCCCCTTTAGTGAACCGCCGAACCGGACCGCCCTCTTGGTGGTCCGGGGGTTGCGACACTGGAGGGGCGAGGGGCGATGGCTCGAGCGGGAGTTCTCGAGCCATGGCTCCGCCCCTCAAACTCTTTGAGAGGGCGCGGCGTGGGGTAGATGTCGCCCTGCGCCGCAACCGCGAAGTACCCGTACAATGACGGGGGGAGGGTGTCGCCTTCCGCGGCATCCTCCCATGTAGGGATATGGCGGGGGGGCGGCCAGACGGCATGGGATACCAGCATCCTGGCCGTCCCCTGTATAACGCCCGTGAAGGACATCCTCTGGGGTTTTAGTGCGGTAGGTCCTGTCCCGGCTCTCCGGCTCGCCGATCCCGACTCTCCGGCTCGCTACGGCGGACCGGCCAGGCGAATGTGCGGGCCGGCCAGACGGGGCAGGGAGTCCCACATAACCCCCGCCTCTACCCGGAGGCGGACGGTACCATGAGGTTTCCCAGTCAAAAAAAAAAAAAAAAAAAAGGGGTCAGGATGGCGAAGTTTGGTTTAGGCAAATTTCCTGACTTAAAAAAAAAAAAAAAAAAACCGCCAAAGGTGGCATTATACAACAATGGCAATGTTGGTTCCGTCGTAAGACTATCTTCTCGGTGCACGTGCACTAAGTACGCTCCGTACATAAGTACTTTAAAAAGTGGTAAATTCTCGGTTTTTAATACCAAAAACATTATTGGTGTATTGTTTTTAGTGCTTAGTTCACTAGTAAGTGGAGGCAAATTGATTGAACAAGTATTTTGTTTAAAATAAGCCTCTTAAATATTGACATATGCTCTGCCTGTCTAGTGATATTGACAGGTAGAGAGAACAATTGACATTTTGACTTAAAAGTGTGCCAAGAGTGGATTATTTTACTGTGGGATTATTTGTTATAATGTTCTTTACTACATATAACAATTTCAACCAGTTCTATTAATTATTCAAGTCATAATTAATGAAATTGTGCGGGGACTATTGCTGTCTCTCTCGCACTAGTGGACTTATACTTGATGTATATTTTCTTGACTTTAGATATTTTCTGTGTGCTGGAATATATTTTTAATACATTCCTATGACTGTTTATTAATGACTGAAAATTTGGAGTGATAGAGTTTGTTAGTTTGACTGGAAATTATACTTTTCATTTATATCTGTTGCTGTCTCTCTCACTCTAGTGGATTTGCAGTAAAAGCTTATATTTGTGGTGTTATAAATTTTCCACATGATGGAATATATTTTTAATATACTCTTACGATTATTTGTTAGTGTATGTGAAAATCCAGACTATCAAAACTTATTAGTTTGTATATAAATGACAGCTGCAATTCCAAACTATTGCCATCCTTGTTTGGCTTGAGGCAAATCTGTCAAAAATCTTTGGGCTCTCCAACAAGCTGATCGGAATTTGTTACGGTGAAGTAGACATTTTATATATGTTTTTGACAGTTGCAAGTTGTTATCTAGTGACTAGGAATAATTGAAATAATTTTAGTTAATGTTAAAATTGAATTATTAAATTGTAACTGTTTTCCACTAGACTAATGCGCTCGCGTGCTCAAAAGTGGGTTGGCTGCATTTGCGTGTGTATCCGTTGGCAGCCTCTCATTGGCTTTGCTAATTGTAGTTATTTTCATTTAAAATCTGACTTTTAAACCTTAAATAAGTTATAATAAGTGCTTTTTATATCCTTATAAACAATAGACACATAATTATATAAGTGTTTTTTATGTGACTTACATAAATATATAACATTTTTTCATTAAATAAGTATATTGAAATAAATTGCACGTGGCAGTTCTTGCTACAGCGCATTTGTTCTGCGCAGTGCGCGCGTGCTCAAGTAGGTTGGCAACCTGCCTGTTAAGTGCTGGCAATCCTTCATTGGCTGATATACTAAATGCGCGAAATTTTGATATGTGATAATTAATAACATAATTATCAATTGAAATTATTGAAATCAAGTATAATAGTTATAGATTAGACAATAAATAAGAATATTTAAGACATATATATATAATCTATAATCTATTAACAATTAAAATGGATTAGTAATAACTTTAAAATATTATATTTCAGAATACATTATTATTATAATTACATTAATTAGTCTTAATTAAATTAGGCTAAACTAAATTGGTTGAGACACTGTCAGAAAGATATTAAATCATAAATATTTAGTGTTAACAATAGTGGACGAACTGTTCATGTTTGCTGCTTCTTTTGTGCTACGATCCAGTTGTTTCTGCAATAAAATAGGAAATCTTTAAGTGGTTGATTTCTTTTTAAGTAGGAGAATTATTTGATTCATGTAACAAGATGTTAAGTTATAAAATATGTCTAATTTAACAGACTTACAATTATTCATCTTATCATATGCGTGTAGCTGATTGTTATAATTTTTAAAGAAGTTTGCATTCCCCCTAATCTATCTTGGGAGCTTGATTCTAACTTTGTCAAGCAATATAGTATTTTGGTACTGTTGCGTTGAAGTTGGATAGTATTTATATCTTTACCGAAAGTAATTAGTAACAGTTGCTTTTTATCCTTGACCTTATTGGATGAGTTATCTAGAAGGAAAATCCAAAACTAATAATTCTTCATATTTGGATAATCAATCTTGATCAAATAATATAATTGTATCTGTATACTGATATAGATGCACATATATGTATATATACATGACTATGAAATCTTACCAGTAGGGGTGGTTTGAATTAACTGCCTTTGTCATCTGACTGTGTGTTAACGAATACTGTTTCTTCATCCTAGAATAGTGCAGGATTTATATTTGGATGTGCAACCAAATTCTGGCGCTCCATGCCTCGTCTTCCCAATCTGAAATAAATCATTTGATATTTAGACAAATATCTTATAATTGATGTTTGATCCAAGCTGGATAAATATATTAATTTGTTACAAGTGTTAAACAACAAACAATAATTAGTATATAAAATACTTTATTTTATTTTACTTTATATTTACAAGTTTATATGATGATTGTGTGAATTGATAGTCATTTGTTTATCAAATAAACGAATGTGTTGTAAAACATTTGGACTAGAGCAAAGAACTACATTTGAGTTTATAACTGTGTTTTAGGTATTTTACATTGCGACCGACCACTGGTCGCGATCCGCAGAAGTCCGCTACAGTCGAAACAGGCAAAGAAACTATTCCAGATGATCCGGAAGGTGAGTCGACAGCGATCGCAAGTGATCTAAATACCCAGAACTGATACATACCAGGTGAGCGACTGATGAGCATCTCAGCGTATCCAGCAAGGTGACCCATGGTCAACAAGGTCCCCAGAGAGATCCCAGCACATCCGGGACGGTAGTCGTCTAAAAGATGTAAATATGTATATAGTATAAGTATAGTCGTAAATTTAAGTTAAGCGATCGCGTCCATACGTTTTTTTATTATTATTATTTACAAAGCATTTGGAAGAGTGCTTGCAACGAATTCACACTTGCAGTAAGACAGTAAGTCAAGAACTGCGTTAATTAAATCTCCAACGCAAATGTCCAAATAAGGCGTAATCGCAAGATGCGATAGAGGTGCGCTGGAACCATGATCACTAGTCCAGATCATTAAGTAATCAGATACAAGTGTGAACCCGGAGCAAACGACTCTCCAAAGCCAGTTTTAGTTTTTACTAATTTTTAGTTACCGAAAAGTCAGGTGATGACTTTGGACGCCTAATTATAAGTCGTAATATAAAAACACAAAAACAGCAAATAAAAACTAAACCTTAAATTGTCTCAGCGGGCATCCGAGAGATCAAAGGTCGAGATAGGGTTCCCAATGACCTGGAACCCCATAACCTATAAAAACTTGAATCTTTGTTCAAACGTAAAGGACCTAGGGATGGAACAGCATCCCAAGTCAATTTGGGACATACGCCCAAAAGGACAAGATGAGATGATAAGATACACATGATCTATATCGGATGCACGCCGAGCCAAACACAAAAAAAAATAAATATACTAAAATATATCAGTTAACATAATATATATTCTCTTAGTTAAATTAAGTATATAACCGATAGGCTAATATTAAGGTCGAATAAACGAGACTCCCGAATGTTGAGACATTATCGTTACGTTTGTTTACCTGTAAAGAGTTATTTACGTTTATTGGCATTTTTAGTTAAACATTCGAGACATTCGTTTATTCCTAAACAAACTTGTGGTGATAATATTTTAATAATAATTTATTTTAGTTGTTTACGGAACACCCACAAGAATAATGTACGTCATTATTTATTTTATAAATTATTTAGCATGTTTATGCGATAGTGAACCGGTCCCGAGCATCAGGACACGATAAAAGAGCGATAACCAAAAATTGGTTAAATAGGAACTCTTGTCGAACGCACCTTACACCGATAAAATGCGAAATAGGAACTCTCGCTGAACACGCGCTACACTGCCGCGCAGCGATTCGCGCTGAGCCCAGCAGTGGGGCGCCGCTCCGCGATTGGCCGGCGGGCCAAGGTAGGGCAAGCGGGAGGCGCACTATAAAAGTCGGGAGCGAACATCACTAGACACAGTCGGCACGGTACGGACTCGATCGCACAGTCAGACGTAGTCTGCACGGTTCGAAGACAGTCGTACTTACGGAAGCGTAGACTTTGTTTTACGCGTATCGTGATTCGGGATAACGCGAGTGGCAGTCGTGTGAATACCGTTATTAGGCGAGTAGCATCTTTGCGTGCGAAAGTTGTGCGACTTGTCCGGGACAACACTGTCTCGTTAATTTCGTTCGATCAGTGTATTCGCGTGCAACTGCTAGACGAGCCACGGCGAATCTAGTCCGCGATAAAATCACAATCGTTACGAGACCGTTTAACGAATGCGCAAACTAATAGGCGGCATAACGCTTGTCGCAAGCGAACTGATCGCGAGTGTTTGTGAACGGTAAAATTTACCGTCGTGAGGAAATCAAGCGAGTGTAATCCGTAACCATTGTACAGAGTTCAAGCGTAGGACGCTATTGAATAAACGTTCGTAGTGAAACCTGAAAAAACGTGATCTGTTACTTACCTACGTATCCGCATCCCACGTCGTATCTCCTTCGGGTGTGAATCCGTTCCTAGGGCGTAGAGATAGTCCGTCGGTATCCTGAAATCAAAGGGGAGAAAGCACTTAGTCAAGTTCCTGCGAACTTCCATTGTTCGCACACACCTGACGCAACACTGACTTGCGTCGCAGCGACGGCCATCTTCAAAGGACGGCGCGGCGCATATCAAGGACGGCTCGAGCCTGACCGCATCACCGAGCGTACCTACATCAAAGGAACACTTTGGCTACTTCCACCTTCTTACTTGTTGAGGTTAAAGTAAGTGGCGACCATCAAAGGTAAAAGCGGGACGTCTGTTGGCTGGTAAGTCGGAAGGAGGGCCTCTTCTCTCACAACGTTCGGTCACAGTGAAATAGCGCTCGTCGCAACGTCGCCGTTAGTATTGCCTGATCATTAGCCCGTGGTTTTCGGCACACCGAAATCCATAAACCCCACGTGGCGACCGTGACAGCCGTCAAACGGATTTTGACGGTCCTTTTGGATAGAATCTGTAATCTTCGGATACGAGCCACGAGGGTCCATAAACCCCACGTGGCGACCGTGACAGCCGTCAAACGGATTTTGACGGTCCTTTTGGATAGAATCTGTAATCTTCGGATACGAGCCACGAGGGTCCATAAACCCCACGTGGCGACCGTGACAGCCGTCAAACGGATTTTGACGGTCCTTTTGGATAGAATCTGTAATCTTCGGATACGAGCCACGAGGGTCCATAAACCCCACGTGGTGACCGTGACAGCCGTCAAACGTATTTTGACAGTCCTTTTGGATAGAATATGCAATCTGCGGATAAAATCCCCGCACGATGACTGTGACAGCCATCGAAAATAAATCCGAAACGTTCCGATAAGATTGAAATAAAGTCACGTACGGTTACCAAATACATCAAAGGTAAACCGAGCGCATAACACGTCAATAGGATAGGGCTTGCAAACACGAGTCAAATTAAAATCTATTCGCGAAAATGAAAACTAAAGTTACGCAAAGAACGTGAAAATTATGTAGCGTCAGTAACATACCGCGACAATAAATATTTGATCGAAAAATCATTAAACTATTATCGCGTATAATTCTTGAAAAAAGTATCGCGTGTCTTTCAAATTAGATTAAATTCGAAACGAAAGAAATTTGATCAAAAAATCATTAAACTATTAACGCGTATAATTCTTATCATAAGTATCGCGCATTTTCAAATTAGATTAAATTCGAAATGAAAATATAGTTGATCGAAAAATCATTAAACTATTATTGCGTACAATTCTTTAACAAAAGTATCGCGAATTTTCAAAGTAGATTAAATTCGAAACGAAAATATGTTTGATCGAAAAATCATAAAACTATTTAAATTGTTTTTTGTATAGATTAAATTCGAAACGAACAAACAAAGAGTTAGTCACCCTTGCCTGAAACGGTGGTGCATCGATTACAAATCGTTTCGTGCGAAGATAAATATCCGGAACGATCGCGAACAGACAAATTCGCATCCGACGGCAAACGTTCGTAAAAGTTAAGTCCGAAACGAACCGAAATTAATAAACCACCGTCAATTTATTGATTCATAAAGTTTTCTCGTGAATTATAAGACGCGTATCGATCATATCAAATTCGTTAAATTAACTAACGGTTACATCTCTGCAAAGACGTGAAGATATGTAGCGACTGGGACAAACCGTAGCGAAATAAAACGGATAAATAACCAACAAGTTTGCATGGAATGTAAATGCACAATTAATACACTCGCCAATAAAAGAAGACGGAACAAAGAGTGACGTCTGGCACGAAGTGTAGTGCATACAAGAAAATCCTGATTTTCCTTGTGTTTTTCCTAATTAAAGCAAATAAATAAACGTTGGTCGGCTAATAAAAGAAAGCAAGAAATTGCTTAGCCATTTCATGTTAATTAATTGTGATTTTAATTAATTTCAGTTAATTACGAAGGAAATTATAAAATTTTCCAAAAAATTGATCGATCAAAAGGCGCGAACCACGAGAATAAACTGCGCAGCAAAAGAAAACCGCGCATCAAAGAAGAACCGCGCATCAAAAATAAACCGCGCAACAAAGGGAAACCGCGCAACAAACGGAAGCCGCGCATCAAAGGCGAAGCCGCGAGTCTACTCGTGTTACGCCGACGAGAAACGCGTACCGCGCAGCGACCGAAAGGTCAAACGGCCACCGTGAACACCTGCGTCAAAATCGAAAGGTCAAACGATTACGACTCAACCAACGGGTGTCCACCAAATAAAATCGCGTTGATTTTAATTAATCGGTTTATTTTCAATTATTCGCGTTATATACCGGGTGATTTGATTATTACAGTCCGTTTTAATATAAAATCATTAAAGTAATCAAAGGTAATAGTCTATTATTGACTAATTAATATTATTAATTCTATAAAACGAATAATAATATTTAAAGCTAACGCAATTTCGCGCAAAAATAAGCTTTTAAATTCGGTTATTAAATTCTACGGCACAATGGATAGAGACGAAGACCAAAAAGTTTTCAAGGGAGTACAACACTCACCTGTCTCAACCCTCAGATCTGGAAAGATCAGGAATCCGATGCATAAGTCCGAGAACAACCTGCAAGGTACTTCAATAATGAAGACACCTTTGGAATTAGCCGAAGAAAAAATCAAAAGCCTAGAGGAAAAACTCGAAACCGCTCTGACGGCATTAAAAAACGCCAACGCCTTGATGTTCCGATGCGATTCGCAGAATTCTGTTGCAGAATCAGGCGATGCTACAAAC